AGTATTTTGGGTCCCAACTGCGTGACGAAATTGACAAAGAGGAAAAAGAAATTAAGATGGTTACTAGAATGAAACTAAGAAGGCACCATAGGCATAATTCATAATACATAAAATGTTTTTCTAATGATTTGTTCCTTAGATAAGGACGTGCCAACCTCTAATATAAGGATGCTGCTACCGAACAAAAATTTGCAGAACGACAAGGAACTATTTGGTTGCAGACCGAATATGCTAACACAACCATAGAGAGATCCATGGAAATAACAAGGATATAATTTTAATTTAAAGCGGTGAAGTTCTTTACAGGTGGAATTCTTTTGTAAGTGAGATGCAACTGTTTCTGCATTAGTTTGTATTAAATAGCAAATAGAGTATGTTACCTTGCAGAAGCCATCCAGGTAGGGCAGCTATATCCCGTTTTGTCAAAATCAACTCTCGAGCTGAAAGCCATCAGCCAATTTAATACCTGTGGATTTGAATCAAGTCAAATTTAAAATTCATTTTTAGATGTTCGATCAAAACTAGCTAAAATTTTACAAAAAAATTAAGCCCCCATTTGCATACAATAGCTCTAGGTATAAGAGATGAACCAGGCTTAGCAGCAAATCCTAAGATCTTACCCTTAACTTCAGTACTGCTGCCTCACTTTTGAATTGTTTTTAATGCAATCTTCTGTTTCTTTCCATCCATATATGATGGACAGCCATATTCCAAGATAGTTTGACTAGAGTGCAACGTGACACAGGGATATTTAAGTATGTTAGTAACATTCGATTCTGACAATCACCTTATTCACATGGTAAGGTTTGAAATCAACAACAGAATCATATAGAACAAGTGTCTAACTTGACTACGGAAGACAAGTTCAGCTGTTTTTGATCAGAAAATAATCTCCCTCCTAGTCTTCAAGTTCGTTAAAAGGTTGGTTGACAGAACACTTTCTACCTGCGTTGACATATGCTTCTCAAACAATTCCATAGAACCCTGTTTTGGTGTAATCCACGTGTGAATACAAATTTCATGGCATCCATTAAGATGTCGAAATTCATATCAGTAAAACCTTTCAACTGAGTTGATTGAAGCTTCTAGTGGCCATATGTTAAATCTTCCATGAAATCAGTTAACTCAAGGATTCCCTCATATGACACTAACAATCTCAGTCAGTTTCCATGATCCCCTCACATCCAATAATAAAGCCTTGACAGGCATGTAAGAGCAATTAAGAATTTTGCCTGCCATAACATCTCTCTTTGCTAAAACGATTGCAACACCTCTGGCTTCTCCAAAATTGGGCCACAGTGCTTGTGCAAAAAATAATTCTGTGTAGACCAACTCCCATAACATAAAATTGCGAAATACAAGCTCCCCACTAGTTCATATAAGTAGCTCATGATAAGGGAACTCCCAGCATTTGGTTTCTAGTTCTTGTTCACCTAAAGACTCATTGATGTCACTTGGTTCAGTAAGACATCCTTTAGCTTCACAGAAATCCTTTGGCAAGCTTAAAAAACGTCATACTGTCCACTATAACTAAGTGCTATAATCAATTGCAATTGGGTGTTAGACACTGTACTTTCTAGGTTCATTATCTGTTTCTTGTAAGGTCTCTGGGAGCTTAGAAAGGTCCCCAAAAAGAGATGCCCAGATGTTTTCTCTGTTACAAATGAAGAGATCAACAAGGTGTGTGCATTTTGATTGTATTCTCAGAAGCTATCAGGAAAAAACAATATTCAACAGGAAATGACAAGGCAGTAAAAATTGTAAAAAGCTAAAGTTCTCATGAGTTCATCAACAATGATTAAAAAAGAAGAAGAAAAGAACAGAAGATTTCAAGATTTAACTTGGACATTTGAAAGCATCCAGTTCTAAAAATATGTGATCCAAAGTGGAGTAGATTATGACACAACTAATTAGACATTTAGACTATAACAGTGAAATAAAAAGGCCAGTCTGACAACATAAAATTTGTAATAGTTAAGTGTAGTTGAATTTTAGAGAAATAATAGTACTACCTGATTCATGCTTTAATCATCAAGATTTACGACACACACCAATTACTATCATTCCTCTTCAGTCTTCAAATTACTTAGAAGTGCTAACTTCCCTTATCTCCTAATTTTTCTTCTTAAGCAATTCAAAGGAGGGCAATTAATCTCTCACTAATATTCTGAATCCAAACAGTTTATAGTGCATAATTACTTCCAAAAAGAGGAGGAGGGGGGGGGGAGAAGTAACTCACTTTGGGATGAAAGCAATTTTCGCTAAAAGAGGCAAAGAGACTGAGAACTAGTACTCCGAACTTGCAACAGAGCTCCTGCATCTCTCTCAGAGACTCACACTGGCCTCCCAAGCCTCTCAAGCGCTTCCATCTCCGATTCCCATCCACGATTACCGCTAACGGCAGTGTTTCGTCCCCTGCGCTTCCTCGATAAGTGCAGGTTGTGTGGCAGCACATTGCAGACGGTGAGGAATTTGTGGTCGGAGTTCGAGTATTCGGTGCTGCATCCACACGATGGATTTGGATCGAAAAGAGAGAAGGATTGAGAGTGACCGCAGGCAAAGAGTATTTCAGAGAGAAAAAGCATCGTTAGGTTTCACAGTTGAACAGTGAGGTTTACTGCCCAACCGAGGAGCGCTCAATTTTGCGGGCAGTGAGGGGAGGGGACAATATTAAACGGTGACGTTTCAACTTTGATTCATAGAATTTGGACTTGTGCATACAAGGGTAGGGATGATAATTTCATTCGCGACGCACTGAGTTTCGTGAATTTCCTTGCCACGGAGATGAAGATTTCTAGAATAGTCCTCCTTGTAAAGTGGGGATGGAGGTATCTTTTTTTTCATGAAATTTCGTAAAAAATTTCTTTCGCTCAGTATGAAACCGTAGAGTTTTATATAAAATAAAAAAAATATAAATTTATTTTTATATATATTTGAAATATATTAACAATTAATTTTTATTTATTCAACCTAATTAATTTATCAATTCATTCTTTTTTTAGTTTTTTCAAACTTAATTATATAGTTTAGTCTAGCCTATAGTGTTCCTAAATTTAATTGCCTAAGTCCAACTCAATTTGCATTAGTAAGTAATAACCCTAAGACTAGAAGGACTAATACGCATAGATAGATTTTAGATCTACGAATCTGTAAATTGCGATTCCTCCTCCTCTCCAGATTCCAGACTCTAGTCTCTTCTTTTTTGCACAGACTGTGTTGTACCTCACTAACTTTGTTTTTGTTATTCAATTGGTCAATTCTTTTCAACCTATTATTCTCGGTAACCTTCAAAAGGTTATGCGCATAGCTCTGTTTCTATTCTTTAATTTGATATAAAGAATTTTTTTCTAAAATTTGGTTAACTTGTAGTACTTGTTTTTGTTTCAGAAAGTTATTTCCTCAACATAAAATTATCGATCAAGTTTAGTTTAAGTTGCTGCTGCAGAGTTTGCCTTACATGATTGGATGGATGTGTATGTATGTGTCACTTACTAGACTCATTTATGCCCATTTTCTTAATGAACTTATTGTTGGACATCTATAGCAATAATTTATGCATTTTTTTTCTATGAACTTTGCTAAATCTAGATTTGTGTGATAGTTGCAGTTTATATCTTTTTTTTTAACCTTTTGTTGGATTTGTTGTACTTATATGGTAATTTATGCCTTTTTTTTTTTTATGAACTTGTTGCTGACTTACTTGACATGTATATATTGACCGGGTATATTTAGTATTTGTTTGTCTTGTTTCAAAATTTTACTTTATAGGATTTTTTGAACTAATTTTATTTGATGAATGTGAAAACTAATGAAATCTAAGTAAACCCATGTTGAACTTAATTTTCATTAACAAACAGTAAAAATTTTGATTAACAAGCAGTAAAATAAATGATAGTTATATTTGATCGGGACTTCGAATACCCGTGGGTATGAGGACGGAAGCTATTTTTGATCCTTTACCAAAAATCCCCATGGAATCCTCGTACTCGCCATTGGTGGGGGGTGGGGATAGAGATGGGGAGGGGGTCCGACTCTGTGGGAACCCATTACCATCTCTACACAAGAGTGAAGAAAAATTTACTTCTATTATGCAATCCAAAAGAAAATGAGTCCCTTGCTTTATAATTCAGCCTATGCTGGATTGCAAAACAGAGGCCATTAGATAGAGTGAGCTACTTACATATTAAAAAAAAATAATAATTGTGATTCCTCTGTATTTTCTCCTGTATCACAATCACCACAACAAGATCTTCCAGCAAAATGTCTTCGTTCTTCCATAGCTTAGATGCAAATGTCTACTTCTTTGTTGTTGATTGGGAATTTGGGATACTTTGGCTC